CCCTCACGGTGGATCCGTGCCTCCCTCAGAACCCCGAGCTGGTGGCCCGGCTGGAGCGGATCAAGGCAAAGCTGGCACACGAGGAGTACCAGCGGATGACCCGCAACATCACCGGCCAGGTGAGGGGCTGCTCAGTGCCTGCTGCCAGGATACATCCCTCAAACACCTGAAAGCAAAGATTTTCCCCTTGGAGTGAGCGCAGTGCAGAGGGGATGTGGTAGGCACTGGAAGAGAGCAGTAACCACACCGGGAACAGATCCGGTGTTTAGGACAGGGTTAACAGCGTGGTTAATTAGACATGACTTTTGTGAACTGCTCACGGTGCCGAAGATCTCAGGTTCTGTTCTGGGAGACTGAGCACATGCCGTAAATGTTTGACTGGAAGCATCTGTGCTGCTTAAATTTTTGTCATAGTTTTAAAATTGCCTCATTCATGTCAAGATAAAAGCTGAAAATACAAGCTCATATGTGGGCACTCATTCTTTCCTGAGAGAGCTGATATCTTCTGGCAGGGTGACTGTTCAGACAAGTCAGCATCCCTTCCTGCTGGCATTCCGTGTGATCCCATTCTGCCCTTCCACACTGTACCTGGCATCCAAGTGCACATTAACTCTCAGGAGAAGATCTGCTTTGTTCTCTGCCGAGCTGGACCACTCCAGATTTGACCTAGTTTAGTGAAAGGTGTCCCAGCTCATGGCAGGGGCTAGAATAAGATGGTCTTTAGGGTCCCCTTCCAAACCAAACCATGCTGTGATCTATAATCCAGGGTGGTTTTAACAGAACTTGCGCAAAATCTCACAAACCTGTGTGCTGTAAAACTGCTGCTCCCCCACAGCCCACCCACTCAAAACCTCAGAGTCTTGGGGACAGTGCATTGGCATTGCTTTTATTCTGCACACACAGTAATAACTTTACTATTAACATTAAAATACAAGCGATCACAAGCTGTTTCAATCCCTTTTTTCAGGAGGTGAACGGGCCATTGGCTGAATTTGGGAGGCAAGGTGAGTGGCTCCCTGTCCTGTTGATGTGTGCAGGGCAGGCATGGGAGCTATTCCATCTCCAGCTGGTGACAGCCCTTCCCTTTTGGAATATCTCACCAGAAGGTTTTCATGCACTGAAGTGTTCCTTGAAGGAGCCTGTTGGTCACTCTTACCAATATTTCTGGAGGCACCAGATCCCAGCTGAGGCAGCTGTGCATGATTACAGCTTGTCTCCAGCCCTACTCCCCAGCCTTAGCTAAAATCACCTCCTTTACCACTCTGTCCCCCAGTTCGTTCCATGAAAGCCGTTGTCATCACCATCTTCAACTTCATTGTCACCGTGGTGGCCGCCTTTGCCTGCACCTACCTGGGCAGCCAGTACGTCTTCGCAGAGACAGCGGCGGTGAGCAAGCCCTGCCCCTGGCAGACCCTCTGTGCTGGCCACACCAGACACCCAGGGTCACCTCTCTCTCTTTTGTGTCCCCAGCGTGTCCTGTCAGCCGTCATTGTGGCCTCAGTGGTGGGCTTGGCCGAGCTGTACGTGATGGTGCGGACCCTCGAAGGGGATCTTGGCAAACTATGACCATGAAGTGCAGGCTTCGTGCTGGAGCCTTTTGTCCTCCCCAGGAGCTGCTAATGTGGGACAGATCTTGTCCTGTCTGTACCTGTTCCTGCTGTGGGAAGACTGCTGCACTCCTCAGGCTCATCCTTCGCTTCCCACTCCTGAAATGAATCATGGATTGGAAATCCCAGAGCTGCAGAACGGGAGAGGGAATGGCTGTGGACTCCAGCCACCCCAGCAGGGAGAGGGGCATCAGCTCCTGCCATCCCTGCTGTCCTGGGAAGTTTCTGTCTGTTTTTATTCCGGAAATAAATTTAACACTGTGTGTTTGTAACCTTCTTCCTGCGTGTCGGGAGGTGTCTGTTGCTATAAGAAACATTTATATTGCATCTGAGATATGGCAGAGATGTGAATCTTGCCTCTGCCTCTGCATCCTGCTCCATCTCCTGTCCAAACCTTCTGCCTGCACAGTGAAGGATGCCTGCACAGTGCTCCCAACCCCCTGCCAAAGGGTGCCCAGAACACCCCTCAACACTGAGCCCAGGGGTTTCTCAATTGCCGTGGGACACAGAGTGGAGCCAGCTCGGTGCACCCACAGCAGGGAGGGGACACCCACGGCAGGCCCTGGGGACCTGGACACCTGCCGGGTGGGCACTCTGCCAGGGCCAGACACAGTGATTAATGCTCTGATGGCAGCTAAGCCCCCCTGGAAACATGGTTTAATATCCGATCCAGGGAGATCTGCCAGCACCTGCGAACGTGCCTGCGGATTAGGGGCGGCCGCGCCACAATCATCCGTAGATACAGCCTGAGATTAAGGTATTTTTTCCAAAAGATTAGTCGGTATTAGGGGGCTGATAGGGAGCTGCCCCTGCTGTGGCTGCACCCGCATTTAGGATATTGGATGACATCCTCAGGGCCTTTGGGACCGGCAGTAATTCCACACCCTGATGAAATCGTGGCGCTAATCTGGGGGGACCGCGGTGCCAGGAGGGTTCCTAGAGCCAGGGGTCCTTGCCACAGCTATGGCTCGCCCAGGTTGGTGATGGCCGCGCTGTAGATGAGGTCGGAGATGGAGCCCAGCGAGGTGGGGAGGCCCCGAGCGGGGCTGTGGGATCCCGGCGGCGGCAGGGCAGGGGCCGGGCACGGGATGCTGCCGTCGGGGGATGCTGCCGGGGGACCCCGCTCCCCGGGCGGCGGCAGCGGCTGTAGCGGTGGCGGCTCCGGCTTGGCGCTACGGATCCTG